TCTGCTATGCCAAGTCATTGCGGTGAGTAATTGGCGGGTGTGGATGACCCGACGGGCGATTTTTTATTTATTTTGCCAAGTCTGTGTTGTTGGCACCGGATGCCGTGACTGACGATGGATTACATCGCTGGAACCATTTTTTGGCTTTTTTGCCTTTTCTTTTAAATGAAAGGACCTGTCAAAAACTGGTTTTCTTTTTTTTTCAATTAAAAGAATTTTTCAAAAGTCTGACGTCTTTATTTTTTCTAAATTTAACCCTTTAGTAAATGGGTAGGGGTACAAGTACCCCTTACTCATGCCCAAGGAGGGGCAGAGTCAGGGTTCCCCCTTATTTAAAGGGGTACCCTGATGCTAATGAGCCCCTCTACCCTCAGACCCCCTCAACCACCGGGCCAGGGTTGTGGGGAAGAGGTCCTTGTCCCCATCGGCATGGGGACACTATCCCCATGGCGAAAGGCACTTGGCCTTGTAAGCCGCAGGGGGGGGGGGCGATCACCCCCTCTCTATCATTTCCTGCCAGGCCTGTGCTTGGATCAAGGGTCTGGTAGGAGTTTTGTGGCCACAACCTTTCCCCCCCCCCCATTTTTTAAAGGTGAGGACTAATTCAGGTGATGGAATGGCTGATAAAACTGTTATTCTCAATGTATTCTATGATATCTTTTTTATCATAGAATGCGTTCGGAGCATGCTCACTCCTAGATTGGCCTGATGAGCATGCTCCAAATGCGTTCCATCTTGGAAACCCAATCCATGCGGTGACATCATCCCTGCGAGCCTACCTGCGCCCCTCTGCTACTCCCCAAGCCCTGAACACCACCGGAGCGGGGGGGAAAACACCCAAAGCGTGGCCAAAGGGCCTGATGCTCCCACTGGACCTCCATCACTTGACATGCCTACCTGTTACCTACCCATGTGAGTGCAATTTTACACTGAAATCTGCCTGATTTTACCCGTCTACACTTAGAGTGGCGCTGCCGTCTCTCTTCTCTACCTGCATTAGGAGTATCTACAAGCTCCTACAGCCGGCTGCCGCCTCGGACAAGTCCATACTACTACAAGCCCCCCCACTACAGATGGACTTGGACACCACCTCCACATGGACCTTCTACTAACCCCAATTGCCGATGGTCCATCCCCCAAACCAGGGGCGGACTGACAACTCATGGGGCCCCGGGGCAATAGGGGATCATGGGGCCCCTGTGTCCTTGCCCAAACTCAAAACAGCCTATGAAAAGGTACCAGGGGCATCTCATGGGGCCCCCTACTGACCCCGGGACCTCGGGCAGTGCCCGAGTTTCCAAATGGTCAGTCCGCCCCTGCCCCAAACGCACACCAGGTACATGCGTCTTAGAGCTCCCTCCCCTCACTCACCACTGAATACAACTTGTCATGTGACTTCATGTGTCCAAAGTTGCACAAGTGTGAATGGAGCCTAAAAGGGCAAAGAGAAAAGTGTAAATGGGATCACGTAACAAACACGCTGCGTAATGGAGCTTTCTGGAAATTTGACTGCAAAAGTGGGGCTATACTTTAAAGAACTAGAGCCTAATTAAAACTCGATCATTAATATTTAAACAAAAACAGAGATTCAAACACTGAGTTCAAACATTGCCTTACACAGCTGAGTGCTGATACACCCAGTAAACAAATTAAATAATTAACATTTTACATAATAATTCCTTTTTAAAGTATTATTAATTGACCCACAAAATAGACCATCACTCCATCTTCTCACTTTTTCCTTGTTTCCTTTAAAATCTCCATCTGCATCTGTTTTAGTTGCCAAATAACTCTTTCATTTCTGTCCATCCAGTCCTGTGATTTACACAACTCTGCCAAACGGCACAACCCTGTCTATCAGAGGATGGAACCTGTTTTTTTTCCCTGCTTGCATTTAAAGTGGAATGTCCCCTTAAAAGGGAAGTTCAGCTGATCCTCCTCCTCCCTCCTCCTCTTTTACTTTTGGGAGCCGGTACCTATTTTAGGTACCTGCACCCACTTCCGTTGAAATCACCTGGGAAAAAAAAGCAAAACTTTCCACAACCTTCCCCCACCCGCAACCTTCCGAGACATGTCACAGGTTCCGGGAGGCTGCGGGTCCATTCACAAAGTGCAGGACGACTCATGTGCAGTGGGGATCACGAGGGCACAGTACAGGGGAGCATTAGTGGGGTACAATACTGGAATCACGAGGACACAGTACAGGGGGGGCTTCAGCGAGGTACAATACTGGGATCACGAGGGCACAGTACAGGGGGGCTTCAGCGAGGTACAATACTGGGATCACGAGGGCACAGTACAGGGGGGCTTCAGCGAGGTACAATACTGGGATCACGAGGGCACAGTACAGGGGGGCTTCAGAGGGGTACAATACTGGAATCACGAGGGCACAGTACAGGGGGGCTTCAGCGGGGTACAATACTGGAATCACGAGGGCACAGTACAGGGGGGCTTAAGCGGGGTACAATACTGGGATCACGAGGGCACAGTACAGGGGGGCTTAAGCGGGGTACAATACTGGGATCACGAGGGCACAGTACAGGGGGGCTTCAGCGGGGCACAATACTGGGATCACGAGGGCACAGTACAGGGGGGCTTCAGCGGGGTACAATACTGGGATCACGAGGGCACAGTACAGGGGGGCTTAAGCGGGGTACAATACTGGGATCACGAGGGCACAGTACAGGGGGGCTTCAGCGGGGCACAATACTGGGATCACGAGGGCACAGTACAGGGGGGCTTCAGCGGGGTACAATACTGGGATCACGAGGGCACAGTACAGGGGGGCTTAAGCGGGGTACAATACTGGGATCACAAGGGCACAGTACAGGGGGGCTTAAGCGGGGTACAATACTGGGATCACGAGGGCACAGTACAGGGGGGCTTCAGCGGGGCACAATACTGGGATCACGAGGGCACAGTACAGGGGGGCTTCAGCGGGGTACAATACTGGGATCACGAGGGCACAGTACAGGGGGGCTTCAGCGGGGTACAATACTGGGATCACGAGGGCACAGAACAGGGGGGCTTCAGCGGGGTACAATACTGGGATCACGAGGGCACAGAACAGGGGGGCTTCAGCGGGGTACAATACTGGGATCACGAGGGCACAGTACAGGGGGGCTTCAGCGGGGTACAATACTGGGATCACGAGGGCACAGTACAGGGGGGGCTTCAGCGGGGTACAATACTGGGATCACGAGGGCACAGTACAGGGGGGCTTCAGTGGGGTACAATACTGGGATCACGAGGGCACAGTACAGGGGGGCTTCAGTGGGGTACAGTATAGGTTCTGGGATGCAGCCTGTCCCTGCAAATCCGTGACAGTTGACAAGTATGATGTAATGCAAGATTATCAAGGGGCCCCATGCACCTGGGGCCCTTGGGCAGAGCCCAGGGGTGCCTATGCATTAAGACAGCTATGGGGCCAGGGACTTAAAGCAATTCTAAAGGTTAATTTACCGAGATTTTTTTTTAACTAGTAATGGTGGCGATCAACGACTTGTAGCGGGAATGCAGCGGACATTTTGGGGAACTGACTTGGAGTCACTCACATCCCCAGTGACACCAATACAGTGATCAGTGCCAAAGAAAAGCACTGACACTGTACTAATGGCACTGGGCAGGAAGGGGTTAACATGAGGGGTGATCAAAGGGTTAACTGTGTGCTGTTTCACATTATGTGCTGTGTGCGTGCTTACAAATGTAAGCACACTGCTTTGTATGACTCTGCAATGCAGAGTCATACAAAGCAGTGTGCAGGAGCTGACAGGGGAGAGATCTGTATTATTTTCATACAGGTCTCTCCCCCGTCGGTAATACTCAGCGATCACCGGGTGTCGGCAAGTAATCACCTGCCGGAACCTGATAATTGACAGCCGAGGCCGCAAATGGCGCCCCCCACCCAGAACTGCAAAATCACTTATATATGTGATTTTGCGCACCCCTGCCGCTCTGTAGCAGTATGTCTGCTATAGGGCGGACAGGAAGCGGCTAAAGATATTAGTGTCCCTGTCATTCAGTCAGCTCCCACCCAGCAACAGTTAGTGTCAGATTGCCCACCGAATTATCGCAGTCCCACTATAAGTCACTGATCGCCACCATTACTAGTATAAAAAAAATTAATTAATAAAAATTCCAGAATTTATACCGCCATTTGTAGACACTCTAAATTTCACTCAAATCAATCATACACTTATTGGGATTATTTATTTATTTATTTATTTTTTTAACCAAAGACATGTAGCAGAATACATTTTGGCCTAAATTTATGAAGAAATTTGATTTTTAAAAATGTTTATTTGATAAGTAGCAGAAAGTAAAAAAATATTGTTTTTTTTAATCAACATTTTCTGTCTTTTTTTCATTTATTTAATAAAAAATAAGGAAAAACCTAGTGGTGATCAAATATTATTATTATTATAATACAGGATTTATATTATTATACAGGATTTATGGCGCCAACAGTTTGCTCAGCGCTTTACAATATAACAGGAGACAATACAGCAACAATGCAGTTCAATACAAGAGGGATAGGAGGACCCTGATCCTGGGAGCTTACAATCTAGGAGGGAGGGGCTGGTGGTACAAAAGGTAATAACTGTGGGGGGTGAACTGGTAGGAGGAATAGAAGATTCCATTATTAGCTGAAGGCAGGTTAGGCTTCCCTGAAGAGAGAGGTTTTCAGAGATCGCCTAATAGTCGGATAGATTGGGGTAGAGAGTTCCAGAGGATGGGGGAGGCTCTGGAGAAGTCCTGGAGACAAGCATGGGAGGAGGAGACAAGGGAGCTAGAGAGCAGGAGGTCATGCGAGGAGCAGAGAGTATGGATTGGGTGATATTTGGAGACAAGATTGCTGATGTAATTTGGGGCGGAGTTATAAATGGCTTTACAGTATATGTTATTGTTAACGGTTTGAATTTTATTCGTTGGGCAATGGGAAGCCAGTGGAGGGATTGGCAGAGTGGGGTGGAGGACACTGAGAGGAGGGATTGGCAGAGTGGGGTGGAGGACACTGAGTGGAGGGATTGGCAGAGTGGGGTGGAGGACACTGAGTGGAGGGATTGGCAGAGAGGGGTGGAGGACACTGAGTGGAGACCAGTGGAGGGATTGGCGGAGAGGGGTGGAGGACACTGAATGGAGGTCAGTGGAGGGATTGGCAGAGAGGGGTGGAGGACACTGAATGGAGGTCAGTGGAGGGACTGGCAGAGAGGAGTGGAGGACACTGAATGGAGGTCAGTGGAGGGACTGGCAGAGAGGAGTGGAGGACACTGAATGGAGGTCAGTGGAGGGATTGGCAGAGAGGGGTGGAGGACACTGAGTGGAGGTCAGTGGAGGGATTGGCAGAGCGGGGTGGAGGACACTAAATGGAGTTCAGTGGAGGTATTGGCAGAGAGGGTTGGAGGACACTGAATGGAGGTCAGTGGAGGGACTGGCAGAGAGGGGTGGAGGACACTGAATGGAAGTCAGTGGATGGATTGGCAGAGAGGGGTGGAGGACACTGAGTGGAGGCCAGTGGAGGGATTGGCAGAGAGGGGTGGAGGACACTGAGTGGAGGGATTGGCCGAGAGGGGTGGAGGACACTGAGTGGAGGTCAGTGGAGGGATTGGCAGAGAGGGGGGTGGAGGACACTGAGTGGAGGCCAGTGAAGGAATTGGCAGAGAGGGGTGGAGGACACTGAGTGGAGGCCAGTGGAGGGCTTGGCAGAGAGGGGTGGAGGACACTGAATGGAGGTCAGTGGAGGGATTGGCAGAGAGGTGTGAAGGACACTTAGTGGAGGCCAGTGGAAGGATTGGTAGAGAGGGGTGGAGGACACAGAGTGGAGGTCAGTGGAGGTATTGGCAGAGAGGGATGGAGGACACTGTGTGGAAGCCAGTGGAGGGATTGGCCGAGAGGGGTGGAGGACACTGAGTGGAGGCCAGTGCTGGGATTGGCAGAGAAGGATGGAAGACACTGAGTGGAGGTCAGTGGAGGGATTAGCAGAGAGGGATGGAGGACACTGAGTGGAGGCCACTGGAGGGATTGGCAGAGAGGGATGGAGGACACTGAGTGGAGGCCACTGGAGGGATTGGCAGAGAGGAGAGGAGGACACTGAGTGGAGGCCAGTGGAGGGATTGGCAGAGAGAGGTGGAGGACACTGAGTGGAGGTCAGTGGAGGGATTGGCGGAGAGGGGTGGAGGACACTGAGTGGAGGTCAGTGGAGGGATTGGCAGAGAGAGGTGGAGGACACTGAGTGGAGGTCAGTGGAGGGATTGGCAGAGAGGGATGGCAGATACAGAACGGTTAGTAAGGTGGATGAGTCTGGCAGCAACATTCATGATAGACTGAAGAGGGGATAGCCTGCGATGAGGTCGGCCAATGAGGAGGGAGTTACAACAGTCAAGGCGAGAGATACCACCAAAAGCAAGCTCAATTTGTGTGAAAAAAATTATATCTATGTCATTTGTGTACAGTGTTGCATGACCCTGCAATTGCCAGTTAAAGTAGCGCAGTGCTGAATATAAAAATAAAGAAAGAAATGGCCTGGTCACGAAGGGGATACAACCTCCCGGAACTGAAGTAGTGAAGATCCTGCAGTACGTACCAATAGCATATACGTCATTTTCGTCTTTTGGCCGATAGTCCTACCATCACCGTGAGCTGGCATTGCATGCTGGGACTTCTTTTGGCATTTCATAGCTGAAGGACTTGAAGCAGCCCCTGCCCTGGGATTGGGACGTTGTCATCAGATATTCAACATTAATTAGATTGGGGATGGTCAGGTAAATGAAAGGCTGATCATGAGAGCGTTACCGTTGCTCCGGCGGAAAAGATAAGAGTGTGAACTAATATTTCTACTGATTTGATTTATGAAAACCTTCTGGATGACTTCCAGCTTGATGAATTAGCTACATCGAGTAAAATTAATTCTGCGCTGCTTCCAGCACCGAGAGGACGGCACGCCACTTTACAAAATTACCACTGGGACTTCGGTGGGTTTCAGCAAGTGGGCACCGTGCGGACCGAGGAATGATAAATCCTGCCCAGAGATTATAGTCGTCTTTATGTTGGCCACATGACCTCGGCCAAAAGATTGATGGATCTACGATTTGACTCTGAAAATAAAGAGCCCATAGAGAGGGACTGTAATGGCCGTGTTCAGGCATGTCATATTTTTTTTTCCTGCCCAGTTGGTTGTGGCTCTGCGGGGCGCCATCCATCCATCCCGCTTTGAGCCTCTCCGTAGATACGGCTTGTCCTTTGTTCTATATGTACAAAAGGGAATAAAATGGAGGAGATCAATTCTGTATTTATGGAGCTCAGTAGGGGTGACTACTACAAAGATCCCAAATGTCACCGAGGTTTGACGTGGGGGGCGCTGCAGCCACCGATCCTGATGGTTGACCTCCAGCAGTGAGCCGAGCTAAAATAATCAATGAAGCGGAGAACGTTTCTAGAACATATTCAGGACCTTTTAATTAGAACGTCTACATAAATGCAGGATTTGGTCCTGCTTAACTAGGGAACTAATGACACGAGGTCAGGGGTAGTGAATGAAAATTCAAGGAGGTCCTGTCAGTAAAATTCTCCTCTGGCAGAGGCCTCAATCTCATGTTTGTGCTATGACTCAGATCCTAGTATATATAGAGTCCCCTTCAGAGTGCCCCCCCCTTACATCACGTGTTCCCATCAGAGTACCACTTACATCAGGTGTCCTCATAAGAGTGCCCCCTTATATCAGTGTTCCTATCAGAGTTCCCCTGTACATCAGGTGTCCTATTCACAGTTCCCCTTACATCAGGTGTCCCCATCAGAGTGCCCCTTTACATCAAGTGTCTCTATCAGAGTCCTCCTTACATTAGGTGTCCTTGTTACAGTGCCCCTTAGATCAGGTGTCCCCATCAAAGTGCCCCCTTAGATCAGGTGTCCCCATCAAAGTGTCCCCTTAGATCAGGTGCAGGGGCGGACTGACCATTTGGAAACTCGGGCACTGCCCGAGGGCCCGGGGTCAGTAGGGGGCCCATGAGATACCCCTGGTACCTTTTTCATGGGCTTTTTGAGTTTGGGCAAGGACACAGGGGCCCCATGATCCCCTATTTGCCCGGGGGCCCCATGAGTTGTCAGTCCGCCCCTGATCAGGTGTACCCCATCAGAGTGCCCCTTTACATCAGGTGCCCTCATTAGAGTGCCCCCTTACATCAGTGTTCCTATCAGAGTTCCCCCTTACATCACATGTCCTCATCAAAGTGCCCCCTTACATTGAGTGCCTCCTTACATCAGGTGTCCCCATCAGAGTGCCCCCTTATATCAGTATTCCCATCAGAGTTCCCTCTTACATCAGGTGTCCCCATCAGAGTGCCCCCTTATATCAGTATTCCCATCAGAGTTCCCTCTTACATCAGGTGTCCCCATCAGAGTGCCCCCTTATATCAGTATTCTCATCAGAGTTCCCCCTTACATCTGGTGTCTCTATCTGAGTGCCCCCCTTACATCAGATGTCCCCATCAGACTCCCCCCTTATGTCAGGTATCTCTATCTGAGTGTCCCCCTTACATCAGATGTCCCCTTCAGAATGGCCCCCTTACATCAGGTGTCCCCATCACAGTCCCCCTTACATCAGGTGTCTCTATCTGAGTGTCCCCCTTACATCAGATGTCCCCAACAGAGTCCCCCCTTACATCACGTGTCCCCTTCAGAGTGCCTCCTTACATCAGGTCTCCCCATCAGAGTGTCTCCTTACATCAGGTCTCCCCATCAGAGTGCCTCCTTACGTCAGGTCTCCCCATCAGAGTGCCTCCTTACATCAGGTCTCCCCATCAGAGTCCCCCCTTACATCACGTGTCCCCTTCAGAGTGCCTCCTTACATCAGGTCTCCCCATCAGAGTGCCTCCTTACGTCAGGTCTCCCCATCAGAGTGCCTCCTTACATCAGGTCTCCCCATCAGAGTCCCCCCTTACATCACGTGTCCCCTTCAGAGTGCCTCCTTACATCAGGTCTCCCCATCAGAGTGCCTCCTTACATCAGGTCTCCCCATCAGAGTGCCTCCATACATCAGGTCTCCCCATCAGAGTGCCTCCATACATCAGGTCTCCCCATCAGAGTGCCTCCTTACGTCAGGTCTCCCCATCAGAGTCCCCCCTTACATCACGTGTCCCCTTCAGAGTGCCTCCTTACATCAGGTCTCCCCATCAGAGTGCCTCCTTACATCAGGTCTCCCCATCAGAGTGCCTCCATACATCAGGTCTCCCCATCAGAGTGCCTCCTTACATCAGGTCTCCCCATCAGAGTGCCTCCTTACATCAGGTCTCCCCATCAGAGTCCCCCCTTACATCACGTGTCCCCTTCAGAGTGCCTCCTTACATCAGGTCTCCCCATCAGAGTGCCTCCTTACGTCAGGTCTCCCCATCAGAGTGCCTCCTTACATCAGGTCTCCCCATCAGAGTCCCCCCTTACATCACGTGTCCCCTTCAGAGTGCCTCCTTACATCAGGTCTCCCCATCAGAGTGCCTCCTTACATCAGGTCTCCCCATCAGAGTTCCTCCATACATCAGGTCTCCCCATCAGAGTGCCTCCATACATCAGGTCTCCCCATCAGAGTGCCTCCTTACGTCAGGTCTCCCCATCAGAGTGCCTCCTTACATCAGGTCTCCCCATCAGAGTCCCCCCTTACATCACGTGTCCCCTTCAGAGTGCCTCCTTACATCAGGTCTCCCCATCAGAGTGCCTCCTTACATCAGGTCTCCCATCAGAGTGCCTCCCATACATCAGGTCTCCCCATCAGAGTGCCTCCTTACATCAGGTCTCCCCATCAGAGTGCCTCCATACATCAGGTCTCCCCATCAGAGTGCCCTCTTATATCAGTGTTCCCATCACAATTCCCCCTTACATCAGGTGTCCCCATCAGAGTGCCTCCTTACATCAGGTGTCCCCATCAGAGTGCCTCCTTACATCAGGTGTCCCCATCAGAGTGCCTCCTTACATCAGGTGTCCCCCATCAGAGTGCCTCCTTACATCAGGTGTCCCCCATCAGAGTGCCCCCTTACATCAGGTGTCCCCCATCAGAGTGCTCCCCATACCTTTTAGCAATAGCGCCAGGCAGGCAGAGCAAGTTGTAGGCGTGGACAGAGGAAGTCCCTGCTGGGGGAAGGCTCTGATGAGGATCCCCAATACAAAGGAATTTCTGATTTAAGGTTTGACTCCTAAGGTGGACTTTGCTGTAAGAAGGGCTCTGCTAGGGTCCCTGATGTAAGGGAGGACTTTAATAGGGACCACGATGTTAGGGGGGGGGGGCTATTAGATGAACTATAATCTATCGGGTCCGTTGGAACCCTTATGTAAGGGGTCTCTGATTGTAACCCTGATGTAAGGGGTCTCTGATTGGATCCCTGATGTAAGGGGGGCTCTGATTGGAACTATGATGTAAGGGGTCTCTGATTGTAACCCTGATGTAAGGGGTCTCTGATTGGAATCCTGATGTAAGGGGTCGTTGATTGGAACCCTGATGTAAGTGGTCTCTGATTGGAATCCTGATGTAAGGGGTCTCTGATTGGAATCCTGATGTAAGGGGTCTCTGATTGGAACCCTGATGTAAGGGGTCTCTGATTGGAACCCTGATGTAAGGGGTCTCTGATTAGAACTCTGATATAAGTGGTCTCTGATTGTAACCCTGATGTAAGGGGTCTCTGATTGTAACCCTGATGTAAAGGGTCTCTGATTGGAATCCTGATGTAAAGGGTCTCTGATTGTAACTCTGATATAAGTGGTCTCTGATTTTAACCCGATGTAAGGGGTCTCTGTAACCCTGATGTAAGTGGTCTCTGATTGTAACCCTGATGTAAGGGGTCTCTGATTGAACCCTGATGTAAGGGGTCTCTGATTGGAATCCTGATGTAAGGGGTCTCTGATTGTAACCCTGATGTAAGGGGTCTCCGATTGTAACCCTGATGTAAGGGGTCTCTGATGGAAACCTGATGTAAGGGGTCTCTGATTGGAACTCTGATATAAGTGGTCTCTGATTGGAACCCTGATGTAAGGGGTCTCTGATTGGAATCCTGATGTAAGGGGTCTCTGATTGTAACTCTGATATAAGTGGTCTCTGATTGTAACCCGATGTAAGGGGTCTCTGATTGTAACCCTGATGTAAGGGGTCTCTGATTGGAATCCTGATGTAAGGGGTCTCTGATTGGAACTCTGATGTAAGGGGTCTCTGATTGTAACCCTGATGTAAGGGGTCTCTGATTGGAATCCTGATGTAAGGGGTCTCTGATTGGAATCCTGATGTAAGGTGTCTCTGATTGGAACTCTGATATAAGTGTTCTCTGATTGGAACCCTGATGTAAGGGGTCTCTGATTGGAATCCTGATGTAAGGGGTCTCAGATTGGAATCCTGATGTAAGGGGTCTCAGATTGTAACCCTGATGTAAGGGGTCTCTGATTGTAACCCTGATGTAAGGGGTCTCAGATTGGAATCCTGATGTAAGGGGTCTCTGATTGGAATCCTGATGTAAGGGGTCTCTGATTGGAATACTGATGTAAGGGGTCTCTGACTGAAATCTTGATGAAAGGGGTCTCTGATTGGAATCCTGATGTAAGGGGTCTCTGATTGGAATCCTGATGTAAGGGGTCTCTGATTGGAATCCTGATGTAAGGGGTCTCTGATTGGAATCTTGATGTAAGTGGTCTCTGATTGTAACCCTGATGTAAGGGGTCTCTGATTGAACCCTGATGTAAGGGGTCTCTGATTGTAACCCTGATGTAAGGGGTCTCCGATTGTAACCCTGATGTAAGGGGTCTCTGATTGGAATCCTGATGTAAGGGGTCTCTGATTGGAATCCTGATGTAAGGGGTCTCTGATTGGAACTCTGATATAAGTGGTCTCTGATTGGAACCCCGATGTAAGGGGTCTCTGATTGGAATCCTGATGTAAGGGGTCTCTGATTGTAACTCTGATATAAGTGGTCTCTGATTGGAACCCTGATGTAAGGGGTCTCTGATTGGAATCCTGATGTAAGGGGTCTCTGATTGGAACTCTGATGTAAGGGGTCTCTGATTGTAACCCTGATGTAAGGGGTCTCTGATTGGAATCCTGATGTAAGGGGTCTCTGATTGGAATCCTGATGTAAGGTGTCTCTGATTGGAACTCTGATATAAGTGTTCTCTGATTGGAACCCTGATGTAAGGGGTCTCTGATTGTAACCCTGATGTAAGGGGTCTCTGATTGGAATCCTGATGTAAGGGGTCTCAGATTGGAATCCTGATGTAAGGGGTCTCAGATTGTAACCCTGATGTAAGGGGTCTCTGATTGTAACCCTGATGTAAGGGGTCTCAGATTGGAATCCTGATGTAAGGGGTCTCTGATTGGAATCCTGATGTAAGGGGTCTCTGATTGGAATCCTGATGTAAGGGGTCTCTGATTGGAATACTGATGTAAGGGGTCTCTGACTGGAATCTTGATGTAAGGGGTCTCTGATTGGAATCCTGATGTAAGGGGTCTCTGATTGGAATCCTGATGTAAGGGGTCTCTGATTGGAATCTTGATGTAAGGGGTCTTTGATTTGAACCCTGATGTAAGGGGTCTCTGATTGGAATCCTGATGTAAGGGGTCTCTGATTGGAATAATGATGTAAGGTGTCTCTGATTGGGAACTCTGATATAAGTGTTCTCTGATTGGAACCCTGATGTAAGGGGTCTCTGATTGTAACCCTGATGTAAGGGGTCTCTGATTGGAATCCTGATGTAAGGGGTCTCTGATTGTAACCCTGATGTAAGGGGTCTCCGATTGTAACCCTGATGTAAGGGGTCTCTGATTGGAATCCTGATGTAAGGGGTCTCTGATTGGAATCCTGATGTAAGGGGTCTCTGATTGGAACTCTGATATAAGTGGTCTCTGATTGTAACCCGATGTAAGGGGTCTCTGATTGTAACCCTGATGTAAGGGGTCTCTGATTGGAATCCTGATGTAAGGGGTCTCTGATTGGAACTCTGATGTAAGGGGTCTCTGATTGTAACCCTGATGTAAGGGGTCTCTGATTGGAATCCTGATGTAAGGGGTCTCTGATTGGAATCCTGATGTAAGGTGTCTCTGATTGGAACTCTGATATAAGTGTTCTCTGATTGGAACCCTGATGTAAGGGGTCTGATTGGAACTCTGATATAAGTGTTCTCTGATTGGAACCCTGATGTAAGGGGTCTCTGATTGGAACCCTGATGTAAGGGGTCTCTGATTGGAATCCTGATGTAAGGGGTCTCAGATTGGAATCCTGATGTAAGGGGTCTCAGATTGTAACCCTGATGTAAGGGGTCTCTGATTGTAACCCTGATGTAAGGGGTCTCAGATTGGAATCCTGATGTAAGGGGTCTCTGATTGGAATCCTGATGTAAGGGGTCTCTGATTGGAATCCTGATGTAAGGGGTCTCTGATTGGAATACTGATGTAAGGGGTCTCTCTGACTGGAATCTTGATGTAAGGGGTCTCTGATTGGAATCCTGATGTAAGGGGTCTCTGATTGGAATCCTGATGTAAGGGGTCTCTGATTGGAATCCTGATGTAAGGGGTCTCTGATTGGAATCTTGATGTAGGGGTCTTTGATTTGAACCCTGATGTAAGGGGTCTCTGATTGGAATCCTGATGTAAGGGGTCTCTGATTGGAATCCTGATGTAAGGTGTCTCTGATTGGAACTCTGATATAAGTGTTCTCTGATTGGAACCCTGATGTAAGGGGTCTCTGATTGGAACTCTGATATAAGTGTTCTCTGATTGGAACCCTGATGTAAGGGGTCTCTGATTGGAATCCTGATGTAAGGGGTCTCTGATTGGAATACTGATGTAAGGGGTCTCTGACTGGAATCTTGATGTAAGGGGTCTCTGATTGGAATCCTGATGTAAGGGGTCTCTGATTGGAATCCTGATGTAAGGGGTCTCTGATTGGAATCCTGATGTAAGGGGTCTCTGATTGGAATCTTGATGTAAGTGGTCTCTGATTGTAACCCTGATGTAAGGGGTCTCTGATTGAACCCTGATGTAAGGGGTCTCTGATTGGAATCTTGATGTAAGGGGTCTTTGATTGGAACCCTGATGTAAGGGGTCTCTGATTGAACCCTGATGTAAGTGGTCTCTGATTGGAACCTGATGTAAGTGGTCTCTGATTGGAACCCTGATGTAAGGGGGGCTCTGATTTGTTTTACTGAAATTCTTTTGCTTTTTTTTTGTTTTTAGTCCTATCAAGATGATTCTAAATAGATTTGTAAAACTTAATTCAAAATTCATTAATTTTTTATTCATTAAATAGAACTGATTTTATATCAGCCGGCAAATATTTACAAAATATATGATGTGGCCCTCATACTGAGAAGCCTGGAGACCCCTGACCTAAAGGTTACAAAGTGAACTACCCATTGCTCCACATCTGGGAAAACATATGATCCCCTTGACTTCCTCTTAAAGTGGAGTTCCACTCACACTGTGAAAAAATAAAAGTCAGCAGCTGCAAAAACTGCTGGGAGCAAAGTAGGAGGGGCTTCCTCAGCTAAGCACATCCTCCTGCCTGCATGTTTCAGCTAAGGGCAGATGGATTCCAGGAAGTAAATGTTACATGAATCATCTACCCTTACTCAAGATGGCCACAGCCAGAAATACTAAGGGGGGTGTTTTTCAAAGTGAATTTTCAACAAAATAGAGCATGGAGACACGGATGGATGGGGGAGTTTGCTCTGAATTTTAAAAATGAATAGAAATGGTGTTTAAATGATGTCACCGGGATATCGGGTGTGAGTTCCACTTAGATGGGCTGAATGTTGCTTGAAAAGTGTTAAATCACAATGTGCCTACAGAGTAATACGTTAATTTCCTAAAAGAATGTTCTGGCAACGCAGCGGAGGAATTCTAGACCAGCAATATGCATTGTTTGCATTTTTTATACATAATGACATTCTAACTAATCTGCTCCTCCAGTACATTTCATTAGCAGCTTCATTGCGGTAGATGAATATTTAAATATGTTGTGTTTCAAATATTTTGGGTTTGTGCTTACATTTTTTTTCCCCCAGGCTGAGAATAGCGGCAGAGTTCGCTGTAACCGGCCTTCTATACCACAATGTGGAATCAATCTCACTTATAAGAACTGGCAGGCCTCAGCGCTGTGAACGGCT